ACCTGCAATACCAGCATCCCATTTTGGAGTGCTGATTTGAGTCCCAGCTGCTCCACTTTTTTTTTTTTTTTTTTTTTTTTGACAGGTAGAGTTATAGACAGTGAGAGAGAGAGAGAGAGAGAGAGAGAGAGAGAGAGAAAGGTCTTCCTTCCATTGGTTCACTCCCCAAATAGCTGCTACAGCCAGTGCTGCACCAATCCAAAGGCAGGAGCCAGGTGCTTCCTCCTGATCTCCCACACAGGTGCAGGGGCCCAAGCACTTGGGCCATCCTCCACTGCCCTCCCGGGCCACAGCAGAGAGCTGGACTGGAAGAGGAGCAACTGGGACTAGAACCCGGCACCCATATGGGATGCCAGCGCCACAGGCGGAGGATTAACCAAGTGAGCCATGGCGCCAGCCAGCTGCTCCACTTCTAATCTGGATCCCTGCTATTGTTCCTTTGAAAGCAGCAGAAGATGTCTCAAACCCTTGGACCCCTGTTACCCATGTTGGAGACCTGGATGAAGTTCAGGGCTCCTGGCTTCACACTGGTGCAGTCTTGGCCATGTGGCCATTTGGGAAGTAAACCAGTGAATGAAATACTTTTTTCTCTCTCCCTCTCTCCACCTTTCTGATAAAATGTTTTTTAAAGATTTATTGATTGATTGACTTGAAAGTCAGAGTTACACAGAGAGAGAGGAGAGGCAGAGAGAGAGAGTCTTCCATCTGGTGGTTCACTCCCCAGTTGGCTGCAACGGCCTGAGCTGCGCCAATCCGAAACTAAGAGCCAGGAGCTTCCTCCAGGTCTCCCACGTGGGTGCAGGAGCCCAAGGATTTGGGCCATCTCCTACTGCTTTCCCAGGCCATAGCAAAGAGCTGGATTGGAAGTGGAGCAGCCAGGCCTCGAACTGGTGCCCATATGGGATGCTGACACTTCAGGCCAAAGTGTCAACCCATTGTGCCACAGCGCCGGCCCCTCAGATAAAATTAAATAAAATAAACTATCCAATATGCTTTTTAAAAAGAGAGAATATCCATTCACTTAAAGTTGGTATATTATATTTACTTGAATTCTATTTTTTTAATTTTTATTAGAATAATTCTGACTTAGAAAACATTGAAAAATAACAGAGAATTTATGTGTGCATTTCACTCATCTCAACTTGTTAATATCTCAGGCTACTCAGAAATTGATCCAGCTGTTGTCTGCCATCATGCTAATATTGCCAACTCTGTGTCAATAAGTACTGTTACTTATTTAATTTTTTTAACTTTGCTAACTTTTTTTCAATATTTTGGTTTTTTTTTATTTTTTATTTTTGGACAAGCAGAGTGGACAGTGAGAGAGAGAGACAGAGAGAAAGGTCTTCCTTTGCCATTGGTTCACCCCCCAATGGCCACTGTGGCCAGCGCGCTGCGGCCGGTACACCACGCTGATCCAAAGCCAGGAGCCAGGTGCTTATCCTGGTCTCCCATGTGGGCGCAGGGCCCAAGCACTTGGGCCATCCTCCACTGCACTCCCGGGCCATAGCAGAGAGCTGGACTGGAAGAGGGGCAACCGGGACAGAATCCAGTGCCCCGACTGGGACTAGAACCCGGGGTGCCAGCGCTGCAGGCGGAGGATTGGCCTATTGAGCTGCAGTGCCGGCCTAATATTTTTTTTTTTTATTTGAAAGGCAGAGTTACAGAGAAAAGGAGACAGTGAGAAACAGAGAGAGAGAGAGCACACACACGTCCATCTTTTGGTTCACTCCCAAATGGCCACAACAACCAGAGTTAGGCCAGGCCAAAGCCAGAAGCCAAGAGCTTCTTCCAGCTCTCCCACATGAGTGCAGGGGCCTAAGCACTTGGGCCATCTTCTGCTGCTTTCCCAGGCTCATTAGCAGGGAGCTGGAGTGCAAGAGGCACATCAGAACCAAATTGGTGCCCATACAGATTGACATCACAGGCAGTGGCTTTGTCCACTATACCACAAGCCAGCGCTTGGCTAATTTTCTTAAAAAATTTATGAAACTATGCACAACAAACATACCCCTTAAACAAGCATCCTGTAGCTGCCTCATATACTAACAGGCCATAATAATTATTTGCCTACTATTGCATAGCAACTTGCAATCACATTGTAGTTGCTTTTGCTAAATAATATCTACAGAGCGTCTTTCCATGGTTCCTAATAAAGTTGGACAGAACTGCTATGGCCAACCTCGTAATGAGCCTGCACAGGCTGACCAGAGTTACCTAAGATTGACTATATTTTAAATGACATAACTCCCATGGCATTTCAGGAGCCATCTTTGAACATGAAATGTATGTAAAGGACTTCCCCCACTCCTTTGCTCTGCACCAGTCAGGTCCTGTCACTTGTTTCACCCAGTTCTGCCCCAGTTACCCTAACTCCATGCATTCCCAAACCCCTTTGTGTCTTGGGAGACTGATTTGGGCCTTGACATGACCTGCTCCTTTCTCCAAATAAATACTTTTTCTCTGAAGGTAAGTCCAGTGTTTCTATAACTAATAGTAAATGCACAAGGAGAGAGCCCTGTCTGACAACACAAAATTGATGAGTAAAGAAATTTCAAGTATGACCATAATTGAAAAACCACTATACATTTTCATATTTGTGCATTAACATGAAAAATGGACTTCCATTTACTACCTACAGAGAATGCCACATACTACACTTTGGGAAAATTGGAAGAGGTGGTGGACAGTGAAGATGGCCAAGACCCTAAAGGAGCTAGGAAGTGTAACATAGCATGTGTGCCACCAAAAAAAAAGCTGCCCTTTGAACAGCATGATAAGTTATCGTAGGAGCAGATGCTTAAACAGAGAAGGGATTTTCCAGGTGAACAAATTGGGACACATTCCAAGATAGGAAACAGCGTTTAGAAAGGTACAAAGGCTAAAGCAGCCCAAGGATATCCAGGCATCCGTTAACGTTGAACTCACCGAGAATTTGCTAAAAAGAAAGCAGTGTCTCCTATGCCAAGCTAAGGAGGACTAGCTGCCCCCTGGATGCAGTGGCAGACTTCTAGGCTTTGGAGCTTGGAAAAGCCTAAGGGCTCGTTTTCAGAAAGATGCTTTAGATGCGTGGACTAAAAGTCTTGTATTACAAAGTAATCCTTTTCCGTGCCAAAAGTGCTCCGCCAACATGGTGAACATTCCAAAAACCCACCAGACCTTCTGTAAGAAGTGTGGCAAGCACCAGCCCCACAAGGGGCTACAGTATAAGGGCAAAGACTCTATGCCCAGAGAAAGCGGCGTTATGATGGGAAGCAGAGTAGCTATGGGGGGGCACACTAAGCCGATGTTCTGGAAAACGGCTAAAACTACAAAGAAAATTGTGCCAAGGCTTGAGTGTGTGGAGCCCAGCTGCAGATCCAAGAGAGTGCTGGCTATTAAGAGATGTAAACATTTTGAACTGAGAGAAGATAAGAAGGGAAAGGGGCAAGTGATCCAGTTCTAATCTGCATCTTCTGTTTTGTTATGAAGACAATAAAATCTAAAGGCTATTACTGTCCACTTCATTTGATCTTTTGGAAGGGAATGAACTAGAGCTATCAATAAAACTCCTCTTGGAAATTTTTAAGCTTAAAAACAAAGTAATCCCACTGTATCAAAGTTGCTACTAAAATGTCAAAAACACATTTGTGGTATAGTGAACATGGCTTTTTTTTTTTTTTAAGATCTATTTATTTATTTGAAAATCAGAGAGAGAGAGAAAAATATCTTCCATCTACTGGTTCACTCCCCAGATGGCCACAATATTCAGGGCTGGGCTAGACCAAAGCCAGGAGCCAGGAGCTTCCTCTGGGTCTCCTATGTGGGGCAGGGGGCTGCCATCTTCTGCTGCTTTCCGAGGTGCATTAGCAGGGAGCTGGATCGGTAGTGGTGCATCCAGGATTTGAACCAGTGCCATATGAGATGCCAGTGTCACAGGCAGCGGCTTTTTGTGCTAGACCACAATGCTGGCACCCCTAACTTCATTTTCTTGAAGAGCTCTTCCATCCACTAGTTAACTCCTTAAATGGCAACAGCAGCCAAGGCTGGATCAAGATGAAGCCAGTAGCCAGGAACTTCATCTGGGTGGCCCACATGGTGGCAGGGACTCAAGTACTTGGGCCATCCTCTGCTGCCTTCCCAGGTGTATCAGCAGGAAGCTGGATCAGTAGCAGAGTAGCAAGGACTCCCATAGGATGCCAGTATCGCAGGTGGCGGTTTTACCTGCTGCACCACAATGCTGTCCCCTAAACGTGCTTACTTAAATTAACACATTAAATAACCAAATCTACTAGAGAGTCTACCAGCTACTACAGTTTCAAAGTAGTCATACATATAAATGATGTTTCAAGAAAATTTAAACAGCTAGAATATTACAGGAAAATATGACAAAACAGTCACACTCAGAAGTTTGCTTTTTGTTTGATGTTTTACCATCTGCCTTCACAAACCACCTGAATTCTGCCTGTGAGGCACTTAGTGATCCACAGACTCCAGCTCAAGAGCCCCCTTCCTTGGGAAAGTCTCTGTAACAAAGGAGAGTTAGACCAGGGAGGGGCTGGTCAATGGTGCTGGATCACAGTTGGAGAAGAAAGAAGAGCTGGTGTTGTCAGGTTTGGAATAGCTCTGGATTCTGGCCCTTTTTTTTTTTAAAGATTTATTTATTTCTTTGAAAGTCAGAGTTACACAGAGAGAGGAGAGGCGGGGGGGGGGGGGGGGAGGTCTTCCATCTGTTGGTTCACTCCCCAATTGGCCGCAACAGAGCCAATCCGAAGCCAGGAACCAGGAGCTTCTTCCAGGTCTCCCACGTGGGTGCAGCGGCCCAAGGACTTGGGCCATCTTCTACTGCTTTCCCAGGCCATAGCAGAGAACTGGATGGGAAGTGGAGTAGCCGGGTCTTGAACCGGCGCCCATATGGGACACCAGCACTTCAGGCCAGGGCGTTAACCCTCTGTGCCACAGCATCAGCCCAAATTCTGGCCTTTTGTACCCCCAGAAAAGAGATGGAAAGGAAACCGAGCTCAATAGAGACAGGTTGCTTTATTGAAGCCAAGAGGTGGTGGCAGCCTGTTCTTATGAAGACTGTGTGCATGGCATGCATAGGGCTGGGCTTGTATCTGGTCTGGTTGCTGAAGGAACTTGGCACAAGGAGTTCTCCAGAAACCTTGCAGGCCTTTCGAGTATCTAGTTTTGCTAGCTGTTTTGCAGGTGTCTAGAGGGAGAGAGAGACCATGAAGAGGAAGGGTGACTTTCTTGTGAGCTGTATTATCCTTTAGGTGTTCCATTGCACAGAAAGGATGGCACAGATGACATTCAAAGACCTTGAGGAGGGGATTGAGTGTTTTCACTACTACACAATGGTAAATGTTTAAGGAGACAGATGCATTTACCCAAACTTGACTAATACACAATGTATACATGTATCAAAACATCACACAATGTATACATGTATCAAAACATCACACAGTGCCCTGTAAATACCAAAGTTTAATTTGTATGATCAGTTTAAAAAATAAACAAGAAAAGAGAATTAGACCAAACCAGAAGAAGAGAGATGGGACTCCCTGCTCACAACCAGTGATGAGGCCTGCAGTGCTGCCTGACTGGCGGCAGACTTAAAGGGGGCTTAGAAAACCAAGCTCAGGAGAGCAGAGTAAGTTTGTCATCAGCCCCACGTGCTGCGCGTCATCCTTTCCAACCCACTCGTGGTTCCTCGAGACTTTTTCCACAAAAGAACGTGAGCGAATTGTCAAGATTTCACTGGGGAAAGCACTCTACAATTAAATGAGATGCCTAGTGGAAATACTTTAAAAAATATTAATGAGAATGATCTAATCACCACCTGCTTGTAGGAATATGACATCAGCCACAAGTACAACTTTAAATGTTCTGGCAGTGAAGTTTAAGAAGTGAAACTAAACAAGTGAAATTAATTTTAATAATATATTTAACTCTAGCCCAAACATTATCATTTCAACATGTAATCAGTATAAACAGTTATTAATGGGAAGCTTTACCTTTTTCTCACCAAGTCTTCAGTCTCCAGAGTATATTTTAAATATAGAGCATATTTCAAGTTGCACCAGCCACATTTCAAGTAAGTATGCAGTACCCACAGGTGACTGACTGTGAAGGACTTCCATTTAAATAGTGCAGCTGGAGATTTCTGGAAAAGAAAAGGAACACTATTTCGCATGTTGAGGTGTTTGGTACTTTATAAGTCAATCTAAAATTATTGTGAACTTACATTGCACTGTTAGGTGAGAGCGAGCCACAAAACTTTAAGCCAGAAAGCAAAATTACCAGGTTGGCATTGTACCTCATAGAGGAGATCAGTCTTCTGCAGTATTGCAAGCATTTGGGAAACCAGGGTGAGAATTTGGCTTAATGGTTACTTGGGATACCCAGATCCCATATCGAGGTGCCTGGGTTCTCCTCCAAACTCCACTTCGGAATCCAGCTTCCTGGCAGTGCACACGCTGGGAGGCAGCAGGTGATGGCTTGGGAAGCTGCTCCCCTGCCAACTACATCAGAGATCTGGATTGAGTTCTAGGCTTCTAGCTTTAGCCTGGCCTAATCCTCACCACTATGGGCATTTAGGGAGCTCTCTGTTTCTCTGGCTTTCTCTCCCTCTCTCTTTGCCTTTCAAATAAATAAGTAAATGACTTTTTAAAAATGTATTTATTGAAAGGCAATATTACAGAGAGAGAGAGTCTTCCATCTGTTGGTTCACTCACCAAATGGCTGTAATAACAAGTCTGGGTTAGGACAAAGCCAGGAGCCAGGAACTCCATTCAGGTCTCCCACGAAGGTGCAGAGGTTCAAACATTCAGACCATCTGCTGCTTTCCCAGGCACATTAACAGGGAGTTGGATCGGAAGTGGAGCAACTGAGACTGGAACCAGCACTCCTATGCAATGCCAGCATTTCAGGCAGCAACATATTTATCCTCTGGTATACGACACAGGTCCCTTAGTATAACGTCTTCATATTTCATTGATTTTAGAACAGACAGGCAGAGTAGACAGTGAGAGAGAGAGAGACAGAGAGAAAGGTCTTCCTTTTTTTTTTTTTTTTTTTGCCGTTGGTTCACCCTCCAATGGCCGCCGCGGCCGGCACGCTGCGACCAGCACATTGCGCTGATCCGAAGCCAGGAGCCAGGTGCTTCCCCTGGTCTCCCATGCGGGTGCAGGGCCCAAAGACTTGGGCCATCCTCCACTGCACTCCCGGGCCATAGCAGAGAGCTGGCCTGGAAGAGGGGCAACTGGGACAGAATCCGGCGCCCCGACTGGGACTAGAACCCGGTGTGCTGGCGCCGCAAGGCGGAGGATTAGCCTAGTGAGCCGCGGTGCTGGCCTGGCCTCATTTTTTTTAATGTTTAGCAGGCCCTAAATTAAGACTGCAACTTTAAAAATAGTTAAGTTATATAACTAGTATTTAACATAGTGAATTTATATGCTAAGGGGTTGGTTATCACTCTATTGTGAGAGCTGGGAGTTAGATTTTATGATAAAATTTTGGCTATTTGGCCGGCGCCGTGGCTCACTTTTATTTGAAACCCAGGGGACAGAGAGAGAACTATTTATCTGCTGACTCACTTTTCAAATGCCCACAATGGCAAGGTTGGGTCAGGATCCCAGAAATCAATCCAGGTCTGCCATGTGGGTGACAGGGAGCCAAGTACTTGAGCCAGCATCTGCTGCCTCCCAGGGTGCACATTAGCAGGAAGCTGGAATCAGAAGCAATGCCAGAACATGAACTCAAGCACTCCAATCCAGACACGTAATCTCACAGCATTATCATTTTGAATGTGTTAATATTGTGCCTTTGATTTGATAGATTTAAAGACCACTACACTGCCAGTGTTCCAGATGTGGTGAAATTAATGCTTTGTAAAGGAACCAAGTCAAACAAATATCTAATGTACATGTGGGGAATTTGTAATAAAATCATCTACTTATTTTTTAAATATTTTATTTATTTATTTGAGAGGTAGAGTTACAGACAGTGAGAGGGAGAGATGGAGAGAAAGGTCTTCCTTCCATTGGTTCACTCCCCAGATGGCCGCAATGGCCAGAGCTGTGCTGATCCGAAGCCAGGAGTCAGGTGCTTCTTCCTGGTCTCCCATGCAGGTACAGGAGCCCAAGCACTTGGGCCATCCTCCACTGCTTCCCAGGACATAGCAGAGAGCTGGACTGGAAGAGGGGCAGCTGGGACTGGAACTGGCGCCCATATGGCATGCCGGCGCCATAGGCAGAGAATTAACCTACTGCGCCATGGTGCTGGCCTCTCAGCTACATATTTTTAAAATTCCAAAAATAATAATAATAATAAAATAATTGTTTTGTTATAGTTGTTCCAACAACTTCTTTCTAGACCTCACCTGGCTATGGGCCTTAGACAAATTTGCTTAGAGGTATCCAGGCTTCACAGACTCTTCTTTGGGAGCCTAAAGCACTCGAGCTAATGATGAGCTCAGGCTGTAGGAGTAACCAACCCCCATGCTGGGGAGTGAGGTGGGCCCTTCTCAACCTACACTCACAGCAAAGGGCAGGAAAACCGCTTACCTCTGTTCTAAGACATATGCTCCCTCCATTCAAATTGATTTTCTTTAAATTATTTTTCTATTACATAAGTAGGGGAAAGTACTTAAACATTAATTTAAATGAGGAAGTTAAAATAGTATGAAAAGAAATGGATTTCTTTGGGTCAAATGGCATTGTGGTGCAATAGGTTAAGCCACCATCTGCCACACCAGCATCCCATCTGAGCTCCAGTTCAATTCCTAGCTGCTCCACTTCCGATCCAGCTCCCTGCTAATGCACCTAGGAAAGCAGAGGAAGATGGCCCAAGTCCTTGGGGCCCTTCACCCACGAGGGAGACCTGGATGAAGCACTTGGCCCATGGCTTCAGCCTGGCCCAGCACTGGTTGTTGTGGCCATTTGGAGAGTGAATCAGCAGATGGAAGTGCTCTCTTTCTCTCTCTCTATCCCTCCTTCTCCCTCTCTCTGTAACTCTGCCTTTCAAATAAAGAAATCTTTTTTAAAAAATACACAAAAAAGAAATTATTTCTTTGATCTAATAATCATTTATTTATTTAACAAATAATTGTGCCAGGCACTGCAAGGCCTATAAGATTCTTATTACTATTGAAAATAGCTCATCAGTTAGGAATTTAAGAATAGAGACAGTCAATGCTAGCCTGTTACAGACAATTCACTGGCCATACTATCATTAGGGCCTGTGCACAAGCAATGCAATGGAATGTGAGATGATTTGGAGCCCTATAAGACTCACCTCCAACCCAAACCTATAGCCACAGTACAAGGATCCAGGCAACACCTTTCATTTTCAACATATAGCTTCTTGTATCATGTCTCTGGCCTCTGTTGCTGCCTTGTCCCTCCTAGGCTCTTCATAGGGTATCTGATTGAACTGACTGCCCCACTGTCCATTTCCTGCCTTGGCCTCTTGGTCTTCAGCTCTCTGTCCAATCTGCATTCATTCCTTTTGTTTCACTAATCTTGGCTCATGCTCTGTCCTAAGGAAACTTAAAAATAACTCACATATCCTATGAAGAAGAATGGCTAAATAAATTATCTCTATTCTTTGTAGTGTTCCACAGCCATTGTGCAATGTGACTGCCAAGACTATAGAAATGGCTTTGTTCAAAATGTTTACAGTTCAAAATAATCTTAATGGCATATTCTTTAGTACAAAACAGGCCACTCTGGGGCCTCTTCCTTAGGTCTGGCTACCACCTCTTAGTTGACCAGAGTGGCTGTAATTATTTTCTGCCCAGTCTTGATGTAGCCACCACATCCATCTTTCCTCCTCTGTCCTTGTTCATTCTCAGAAATTAATGACTGTGGAGACAGGTATCTGGCATAACGGTTAAGAAGATGCTCTGGATGCCCAAATCTAATACTGGAGGGCCTTGGTTGCAGTGCTGGCTTGGCTGATGTACACCCCAGAAAGCAGCAGGTAGTGACCTAAGCATTTGGATCCCTATGACCACATGGGAGACCTGGATTTAATTCTAAGTTCCTGACTTTGGCCTTGCCCAGAACTTCCTGTTGTGGGCATTTGGGAAATGAACCCACAGATAGAAGCTCGCTCTCTCTCTCTTGCTCTCTCTCTCTGGACTTCTAATAAAATGGGGGAGGGGAGAATGACACTGAAGGGCCCAGGAGAGCCAGGAGTGGGTTGAAAAGGGTAATTCCAGATCTGCCCTTTGGGTCTCCAGCCCACTTGTCCAGTTTGTCCTTTCTGTGCCCACTGCACAGGTTTGCTACAGTATTTGTGTTCATAAAAGTAGATGCATGTGCTAGAAAAGATATTTTTCCTTGGAATGGATAGCATTATATTCATTTCTTGGAGAAAATGTAAATGAGCTTCAGGCAAGTGTGGCTCATGTCACCAGAATTTAATTTTTTAATTTTTAAGATTTTTCATTAGATGGCTAGTGACAGTCATTCTATTTGGTGTTAGAGTTCTCTAGAAAGAAATGGCTTCTAGCTGCATTTTACTAGACAAATGCAATAAATGGGACACTATCTGTTTTGAAATTGTGTGTTATATCATGAAAAATCAGCAAGGTCTCCCCCTTTACCTATTAAGGATGCATTCCAAGGCCCAGTGGGTGCCTAAAACCACTGGTGGTACCAAAATGTATATATGCTGGGAGCTTTTTCCTAGACATACATCCCTATGATTCATGTATAAGCTAATCACATTGAGAGATTAACAATTTAACTTAGATCTTAGCAACCTCAGCCTACTAGTTTTGCTCTTCAATCTAGAACTTTTATCTTTTTGCTTAAAGGAAGCACTTTGTGGCTTTTCTTTTCCATATCCAAATTGCAGCATCGCTACCCTTGTGCTTTGGGGCCACTATTAAGTAAAACAAGGGTTAGTTGAACACAAACAGTGCAATAGCATAATAGTAGAACTGCTAACTAAGATGGCTACTTAAGTGGTTAGCAGGTAGGTTGTGCATATAATGCGGACATGCTCGACAAAAGGATGATCAAGTTCCAGACAGGGCAGAGTAGAACATGCAAGGTTACATCACACTGCTCAGAACAGTATGCAATTTAAAATATGACATTTTTTTAATTTCTGGAATTTCCCATTTGATGTTTTCAGATCTTAAATGACTGTGGGTAATGAAAACCACAGAAAGTGAAACCACAAATAAGGAGGGGCTACTGTAACATGAAAAGAAGCATACCATAGAAAAAATTGAATAAAATACCACAAAGAGTATTGGAGTATTGGAGTAGGTGTCTGATATTAATCAGTGCTTCTTTATAACACCATTTATGAGACATTAAGAAGTGATTTTACTTTCCTAATTATTTCTTTTTGGAATTCTGCATCATTTTGCAAAGTATGTGAATGACCTAAGGTAAGTGAGTGATAGCTTTAATGTAAAGCATATGTATTAACTATTTTTTAAATGATTTATTTTTATTTATTTGAAAAGCAGAGTTACAGAGAGAGGTGGGGACAGAGAGAGAGAGAGAGAGAGGTCTTCCATCCACTGGTTTACTCCCCAAATGGCTGCAATGACATGGGGCTGTGCCAGGCCAAAGCAGGAGCCAGGAGCTTCTTCTAGGTGTTCCACGCAGGTGCAAGGGCCTAAGCACTTGGGTCATCCTCACTGCTTTCCCAGGCACATTAGCATGGAGCTGGATTGGAAGTGGAGCAGCTGGTACTCGAACCAGCCCATGAGGGATGCCAGTGCTACATGCCAGGGCTTTAACCTGCAGCATCACAGTGCTGGCCCCGGGTGTTGACTATTTTTTATTTATTTTTTTATTTATTTGACAGGTAGTGTTATAGACAGTGAGAGAGAGAGAGACAGAGAGAAAGGTCTTCCTTCCATTGGTTCACTCTCCAAATGGCCGTTACGGCCAGTGCTGCGCCGATCCGAAGCCAGGAGCCAGGTGCTTCTTCCCAGTCTCCCATGTGTGTGCAGGAGCCCAAGCACTTGGGCCATCCTCCACTGCCCTTCAGAGCCACAGCAGAGAGCTGGACTGGAAGAGGAGCAACCGGGACTAGAACCCGGCACCCATATGGGATGCCGGCGCTGCAGGTGGAAGATTAACTAAGTGAGCCACTGCACAGGCCCCTCATCAATTATTTAGAAATAAAATTCTTGACAAGCTGGATGTGAATGATGAGAAGTCAAAACCCTCATTTTGGCTTGGTCACCCAGGTGGACATAATAGCTTCCACAGCCTAGTTACTATACTGGTTATTCATTGCTTTGTTACTAAGTTATGCCAAGCTTCGCTGGTTACACCACCATACATGCAATGTCTCAGTTTCTTAGGATCAGGAATCTATGAGGAGCTTAATTGGCTGCACTTGATTCAAGGTCTCTCAGGAGACTGCAGTTAAGTTGTTGGCAGGACTGCAGTCTCATCTGAAGCCCCAACTGAGGAGGTATCCAATTCCAGGCTTACTCACACCTGTGAGGGCAGGCCTGCTGCTTGCCACAAGGGCCTCTCCATGTGACTGGGGCTCTTCTTGGGGTGAAAGAGGTTGTCTGAATAGAAGCTATGGGCTTTTTGTAAAGTGAAGTCTATTTGTTAGAAGAGATTCAGTTAAGTCAAGACCACTGTAAAGGGGAAGGGATTTACGCAAAGTTGCAAATATTGCTGGACAGGATCATTGGGAGGTTCATCTTGAAGGCTGATCAATAGTCAATACCCTTGGGGC